CCCCCACCCCACCCCAAGAAACTTCTCTGTTCAAAGTTCTCTTTGCGGATTCAGGGAGATCTCGGCGAGCGCAGTCCAACCATGTTTTCAAAATAAATAAATAAATAAAAAAATGACCCGCTTTTGGTCCCAACCGGAATTCTGGTTGGACCACCGAGGGTCCAACCAGCCGGGTTGGATCCGGCCTGCCGGGTCCAACCGGCCAGTTGTCAGCACAACCCTGATCCAGGTTTGTTTTTCTTGCTTTTTCAATTCTTCGTTTGGGATGAAGTCCAGAAACTTAGTTTAGAATCTTTCTTTCTCTATTTTGAATCGGCTTTCAATATCTTGCCATACTGTCTGGATAACCCTCCGTCCGTTGGGATGGCCAGCACCCCTCATTCAATAGCTGTCCACTCTCTCTCCGCGCATGTACACACGAGCCCGGGGAGAGAGAGAGAGAGAGAGAGAGAGAGAGAGAGAGAGAGAGAGAGAGAGAGAGAGAGAGACAGAGAGACTGGAACATTTTGACAGTAGGTTGAGGACCGAGTGTCAACTTTTCACTGGCCTTGGCATGGTCGTCGTCCAGTTGGGCCTTCATTGTGCCATAAACCCTGTTCTGTAACTTTGTCTGCGCCTCTGCACCTCTGCACCTCCATAAGTTTTCTTTCTTCGCTCTCCACCTTGTTTGCTCAGAGATTTCTGGATGTGGTTTCCCGGGTGATGTTTGTGTGTTGTACATGGGTAACATAGCCAATGATGGGCGCAATGCAAGTGCTATCCATGGTTGTGCACAGGGCATTCGCAGAGAACTTGACAGGAGCTTCTCTTCTGAACTTGCTGCAGAGCCAGGTCAGTGCCAAGTTGCTATCTTTTTTTTTTTTTTTTTTAAGTTGACAATCTTGCTTCGGCTATCTGCTACTACTGAACATTTTCCTGCTCATCCTGTCTGCATGTATCCTGTGCTATACTACAGGACTTACTGGATTATCCTATTGGCTGCTTCAGAACATGAGATACACGTGCCAGATTCTGTGCATACACACAGGATAGCATATGTATGCACAAGTACAAAAAACACCAAGAAAGTATAAATATTAAATTGACAAATTGTACGATAATTGCTGCAAGCCGACGGGTTATGGCCCCACTGGTTTCAACTGCCGCACGTGGTCATCCTCAGGGGACCCTCGTTTGCCATACCCATCGTTCCACACGCCCACCTCCGCCGTTGACCCAACTCACATATTCGGAAATGTCCGCGGGTTTGTGGCGTAGAACCCGGAAACTTACACTACGCAATCATGGTTCGTTTAGTGTCGTCTCTACTCAAGTTCCACTGAGCCTAACTATGAAACCACACAAAACAGGCAGAAAACAGATCCAAGGTTCGACTCTCACTACACACAAGGGTACAACCACTGGAAAAGCATCAAAAGGTATCGAAAGTCAGTCCTACCGCACCCTGGTTCGGGGCCATACACGTCCACCCTGGTAACCTCCTACGCGAGGTGTATGTCCAACAAAAACACTGGCAAAACCCAGGTCCAACATCCATATAGTCGGAGATCCTGTATAGGTTCATGTGTCAAACACTCAGACCGAAGTCATACGTTCGGCACCTCGCATCAACAACTTACCAATTGGACAAACGGATTTAAGACCCAGAGTGCCTGTGTTCGAGATCGAGAATCGACGAATTTCCATCCCAGATGAAAAATCCTACCAGTCGAACAGGTACCCGGGTTCTAATCCTACGGGTTACGGGACATCCGTGCCAACCTGAGTAACGCAGTCCGAAAGTAACAAAAATTCGAATGCGTGTTTGAAGCCGAAAAAAAACACTCACAACATACAAACAAACAAACAAACAAACAAACATACATACAAAAAGCAAACAGACTCTTGTCCTACCACAACGGTTCAAAAAACGAATGACGAACTGGAGAACGGACCCGAAAAAGAGCATTTAATGGGGAGTGTCCCTTCATGACGAGCATCAGTAAGGAACCCAGTCCCTACATGTCCACCACCTCCATCGCATTCCACTTACTCTGCGCTCAACACGGCCGACCAACATTACAGTCGAAAGGTAGCAATGGGAAAGGCCCTATCCTACGTCTTCCTGGTCCTCACGGCCCGTCCGGCATCTGTTCCTTTCGCTACTTGAAATGCGCACAGCCAGTTAACCTATGTAAGTGATGGGCCGGACTATGCCAAATCCTATGTAAGGCCCTATCCTACGTCTTCCTGGTCTTCCTGGTCCTCACGACCAGGAAAGATCGGGGAAGTCCTATGTGAGGCCCTATCCTACATCTTCCGGATCTTCCTGGTCCTCACGGCCAGGAAAGAGGGGGGAAATCCTATGTAAGGCCCTATCCTACGTTAAGGCCCTATCCTACATCTTCCTGGTCTTCCCGGTCCTCACGGCCAGGAAAGAGCAGGGAAATCCTATGTAAGGCCCTATCCTACGTCTTCCTGGTCCTCACGGCCCGTCCAGCATCCGTGCCTTTGCCAGAGGTTGTCCATATCTGATTTCTACCTTAGGCAAAGTGTCGCAACAGCCATTCCAGGGAAAGAGCGGGGAAATCCTTCAATCCGTGATTCACGAGTCAAACTCAGGACTCTCAGAGGGATTTGCGATCACAGGTTGGTGGTCTTATCGATCCTATGCAAGTTACTGGAGAGTTGCGGCCATAAACGAGCCGCACATTTTTTTTCCTTTCAAGCGGGGAAAAGTACTGGTGGTTTAACGTTCAATTCGGGTGAAGATGGTAGGCCCGGAATTTTGAGCAGCCGGGGCCGCAGTACAAGAACATTTCCTTTCAATGATGACTTGTAATTGTGAAGTTGAACCATGCCTGCACTTCGTAGCATGGCTGGCACTTTTGCCTTTGCTTTGCAGCGCAAACACTACTAAGCGGTTCCGTGCTTTGCTGGGCTCTTCACAGTACTACCCCAAATCCAGATCTTCTTCTACCTGGGGCATCAACAGTTATCGTCCATCACTACTGTCTTCCCCCGAACAAAACGCACCTTGATTCCCAACGTATACAAGCCATTTTTCCGGTCGGATGCGGTCATAATGAGGGTGCGTTGTGTCGGGGGAAGAAGGTGGCGAATTGTTTCGTCCCTGGCAGTTGAAGGATCGAATCGCATCAAGAACTACTGTGGCAATTCTCTTGTCTTCTTGGTCGGTCGAGCCGCTCGGCAGGAAAGGGTGTGTGGTGGATGGTCACCATACTCGTGTTCACACGTTCTTTATAAGATTGTGGCCACCATTGCGGTCAGATGCAGCCCAGAAGAATGTGTTATTGAGAGTATATATGTCGTTAGCGGAGAAAAAGACGGTTTCTAAAGTACGAGCAAATGATGACGAGTCATGTATAGTTTTCGACGTTGTGGTACATAACAACACACTGCTAACGCATCGGACTGCAATGGCAGCCACAGGAATGATTGAGAACGTAGGGCGAGTGCGGACTGACGGTTGCTGTCGATCTGTGGCTTGTTGCAATGTATTTTTCTTTGTTAGGCAGGTGCCATTGCGGGTGACAGCAGCTCCCATGCACTTCTGATGAAACTTCTGCAGTCAGCCAGTGCACCCTATCTTGCTATGCTTGAGAAGTATGTGTTCCGAAAAGGTCGCATGCCTGTTTTTTCCCTTCGAGTTCTTTCCCAAATCTGTGGATGTATGTCATAATGCCGTTGATGTTTCTTGCGTTGGGTCTGCCTGTTTCGCAAATAAATAAGTGCTCCCATTTTACTGTAGTTCTCTTCAAGCGAGGCCTGCCTTGTTTATTTGGGCAAAGTTTTGGAACTGGTGTAGACGTTGGATTTTTATTCCGCACATTGGTTGTGCATGTTGCTCCCTATCTTTTTCATTCGTGTTTTGCCGAAGGATGTTTTCGTGGTGAGTCAGCCGCTCTTGTTTGGAGCAAGAGAAAGAACAAAGTATGTTTGTGTGTATGCTAGTGTATATGCAAAGAGGCACAGGCAAGAAAGCGCTTCAGCCAGAGGTATGCTGTCTTGCGGGCAAGACATTGAAGTTGACGATGAATTGAAGGCAGTTTCAAATATCTACCGTGTGTTCCGACGGCCCCCGAACACATCAAACCCTGGGTTTATAAGTTATAACCCTGATCAGGGTTTATTGCGTTCAGGGGTTTATTGATGTCTGCAAGTTATCTTCCCAGTGATGGCGAGGGTGTGTTGTGCTCGGAGAAAGGATGTAGTTGTTGAGCCCCTGACATTCTGCAGTGTTGGGAAACAGATTATGTGTATTTCTCAATCGTTACAGCCAAAAAAAAATTGTGCCAGCCCAGTGTGGCAGCTCAGTTGGCAAGAACATTGGTGTTGCAGGCAAGAGGTTGTGGGTTCGATTCCGGTCTGCGCTCAGCCGCTTGTGTGCACGCTTGGTTGGTGCTACAGCATGTTACCCCAGATGCTTGCATCCTACCCTAGCACTGCAAGTTCTGCAACTATAGAACCCTGGGGAGGGCTTGGGGAGCACTGCCTGATGGGATCACTGAGNGGTGTTGGTGGTGTTATTAGGGGTTCTGGACCGACGACTCCAGACGGGTAGGTGCCAACCAGTCAAGGGCCGCCGACTATCGGGGGGTCCAACACTGATTTTGCATGATAATAAAGGCAATCAGGGTGGGTTATCTTCATGCATCCTAGTTTGGGATTGCCACGATTTGGAGTTGATGTTTCGGTGAATGTTCACTGTGCTGCAAGTCTTGTTTTGGGTGTTTGCAGTTCTTGGTTCGTCGCATTTACATGTTGTTGTATTTTTTTGTTAAACAACCAGTACACGGTCCCAGCCTTGCGATATTTCTTCATCGGAGGCTCGCGGGCTACCGTACTACAGTGGCTGGCGGTGCCGGCAAAAAAGAAAGAAGTGCGCCGCTGGCGGTTTGGTAAAGCTTGTCGTGCAGTGCAGCGCCGCCAGGCATGGGTGTACTGGTGGTTTAAGTTTGGTGGGTGGAACACAAAACGTACAAAGGAAGAAAGAGCGAGTTACAGTCCAGCTATTTTAAGGAAAAAATACGATGACATGTAAATACTAACAGTGCCTTTGTAAGTTTTGTGCTCAGTTGCCCCCTGAACAAGAAATATCCACGATTGCATGGTCACCCGGGCCTTCTAGCCAGACGAATCCGCAATTCCACATTCACCTGCCAGCTGCTCATGCATGACCATTTGGGGGTGTGAATGACCCGATGCAGAGTTGTGCGGGGTTGATCTTTAAACCACCTCTGCCTCCTGAAAAGTTCTGCCAATCCATACAGACAGACAAAAACACCTGTAGCCATCAGGTCATCAGTTCAATCGAGCAACTGAAAAGGGGTATGCCTCCTGGTAACATTGGGGGGGGGGGGGGGGGGGGGGGGGGGGGGGGGGGGGGGGGGGGGGGGGGGGGGGGGGGGGGGGGGGGGGGGAGGGGGTGGTGGGGGTTTATCTGATCTTTGGGGGGCCAGTTGGTGAGAGACCGTTTGGGGAGTACGTCTATACAGGGCATCACCGTGAGAGGGCGGTGAATGTTGCAGGGAGTAGGAGCAGACTGGGGGGATGTCCTTCTCTGAGTCACAGGGCAGTGGCAAGGGGTTATAGATGGCTTGGTCCACTGGTGGAGAGCATCGCTCCGTGAAGGCAATTATCATGGTAGGCGGTGGGCATCCTGGTAGGGAGTGGGCACAGATTAGGGGTTGTCTATACCTTGGGTCATAGATGGAAAGGGTAGGGTCACATGATTTGGAAGCGGTCCACCTAAGTGAGTGGGAGAAGAGCCACAAGACAGTCTGGATATACAAATCATCACACCTACCGTCTTCCCCCGAACACAACACACCCTCACTTTGGCTGTACCGGGCCAGAAAAATAGCTTGTATACAGTCATTGTCAGGGTGCGTTATGTTCGGGGGAAGACGGTAGCAGTGCAGGCCCCGTATACAACTCTGCAGTTTGTCACATGAGTAGATATAAAGAGAGAACCCACTGCCTTCTCCCAATCAAAATACATGGAATGCAAGTTTGTGAGCCATACATGGAGACCTCCCATGTTTTCTGCCGCAATGAAGCTCGAATGTAGGCCTAGAAGGAGATGTATTTGACTCCCATTTTCTGCTCTGGAGCTATGTTCGTCAGCCGAACAGAACACACGGCCATTATTGCTATACCTGGACAGAAAATTGCTCCGAATACGGCCCTGTATCCGGGTGAGGACGTTTGCAATGTGTCTGCAGTGAGAAAGCTGCATCGACAAATATACTGCTGAGTTCGCAGTCAATAAAAATCCGGGAGACATATATTTTGAATTCCTGCAAGCAGAAGGGGAAGGTGGGGGATGATCGTTAATTTGTCAGTGGGATATGGCGTCAACAAGATCGCTTGTTTTGTTTTTTATTTGGTGTGTGCCCGGGTTTTCTTGCTCTTGGCAGGGGAAATGAATGGACTAGGAAATATTTCATTCAATGAAGAAGGTTCATGCTAAATGTTGCTGATGGCTGTGCTTTACTCTTGTGTGTGTGGGGGGGGGGTTGGCGTTTTGTCTATTTTTGGGGAAGGAACATTCTTCTTCTTCGTGATCTTTGAGGGGAGAGATTGAGTTCAGAAGATAGTCTCTAACCTCCATCTCCTTTTCAATGGTTTGCATTTGTTTTTGCCTTCTTTTCCTCTGAAACGGTATTCACCTGTTCGCAGTAGCCGCTGCAGATCCCAGGGCTCGATCCCTAGACTTACCTTACCTGTGTACAGTATCTGCGTCGACCCCGAGAGTTGAACCCGTGACCTGTGTATTTGTAACAGTTGGTAGACTGTCATAGGGTCCGTAGGCAGCAGGGGTTCGATCTGTAGACCTGTCGGTAGGAGTCTTAGTAAGGTCTAGAAGTCGTAGCTGTAGTTCCTCCGAAGGGTCAAGGTCGTAGCTGCTACAGCATCGAAAGGCCAAGTCCACGGCCTTCCGGAAGGTCCTAGTAGTGGCCTTTCGAAGCTGCTCACGTTTAGGCTGAGGCAAGTGGGCAAGTCGTGGAGTCCACCCGTGCTGAGTCAGCAGTCCCAGTCGCAGTCAGTCCTAGTCCAGTCAAGCAAGTACCGCATGGGACTGTGTGCACCACGGGCATGGGAAAAGGGGCAGACCAACGAGATACAGAAGTATAAATCAAGAGGCAGCGCCCAGCCATTCGTTCATTCCTGCGTGAGCCATGCGGAAGCGCTGCCCCAGCGACTCGTGCGAGGTGGTCTGCAGTGAGCCCGAAGACGAAGTGGGCGAGAAGGAGCTTAGCCATAGCGATAGGGTAGCAGCTGCCATAGCCGCCATAGCTGTTAGGGGAGCGTAGTGTGTGTGTGTGTGTATGAGTGTACAGAGTATCGTGTGTGGGATATCCAGGGTGATCCTGTGTGTGTGTGAGCAGAGAGTTGAGGCGCTGTGACACCATAGCCATCCGAAGTGAAGTTGTATCTGAACTATGTTTTTGGTTTCCATATCTCTGAGTTCTGCGTAGGCGCTTGTCGCCAGTTTGCTGCGCAACCTGTTTACATGCATGAGAAGTGTGGATGAGAGCGAGTCTGATTGCACCTCTGATGTGGCATTTGTATTGCACACATATTCACTGCGTCGGAGTCGTCCCCTTCCAGTTTATGATATAAATCGACTTGGACTGATTTCCTTATTTTGTGTTAGTTATTTATTTTGGAATGTAATCTTTGATGTTGTTACATGCGTTGCATTTGCTTACGTGTTAGTTGACGTCAAACTTTGGCAGGTGGATTTATGAAGGGACGATCAACGATCCATACGGAGAATTTCTAGTCGAGGAGAACAAAAATGTGCTGAAGGTGACGATGCTTCTTTTCCCTCCCGGGCTCCCACCTTATCTCCTCCTTTTTTGTTGTGGTCATTAGACTCATTACTAAGCTAATAATATTCTAATTTAGTAGTTTTGAATTTGTTCCTGATTTGCCGTCTGAACCTGGGTTTTGCAACTGATGAGGGAATTGATCTGACATGTCCGCACACATCAATGGTCAGTTTGGTAACTGGTAATTTACGTAATCAGACTCTAGTGTTTACTACCATTCGATATTTATGATGAAAGGATTTCACATTATCTGTACGTCCTGAGTCCTGAGCCCCTGTCCCGGAACCCCACCTGGGCCCAGTCCAGTTGGTCCCGGTAGTTTCAAGAATAGACCCTAGGAGTCCAGTAGGCCCAACTAGAGTGTCGAAGCATCCCAGGGTCCGGTTGTTAGAAGTCGTGGGCCCAGTACCCGACAAGAAATGTCTGGAGTCCAAACATCATCATGGGAAAGTCTGGTAGCTTCTGGCACTGGCAAAACAGCAGACAACGGACCGCATCGACTGGTACTGGTCCGGAGCCAACATTGATTCACTTCTTCAGCCACTATTTATAGTTGCTACAGTGCAAGCAGCGGGTCACTTGTCGATTCTGTCGTTGCGGAAGCTCGGCTCTAGTGCTTGTGTGACCAAGAGCTGGACAGTCGGGTTCTCAATTAGAGAAAGGGTGGAGGTGAACGCCATAGCTAGGGTGAAGGTGGAGGACGACGGCGGCCATAGCTGCTGGGGGGGGTGAAGACAAAGTAGGGTCAAGTAGGCGGGTGTATTCAGGGAGGCAGGAGAGTGGTCCAAGGCCCTAGAGAGAAGAGTGAGAGAGTAGCACAGC